TGTCTTCAAATTGGTCTAATCTATTAGTGATGCTTTCCATTGAATTCTTAATTTAATTTATTGATTCTTCTATTTCCAGGATTTCTGTTTGGTTCTTTTTCAGAATCTCTATATATTTACTAAAATGATTTTTCACTTCCTATATTTTCTAAGTTTATTTCTTACATCTGATTTTAGCTAATTAAGCATTTAAACTATGAACTCTCAAAATTCTTTTTCCAATACTTCCTCCACCATGGTGCCCATGGTGTCAGTTGTTGAAGTGTTCTGGCTGTTTGGGGTCATTTGTTTTCTTGATTTTTCACCTACTCATCTATTGGGATGATTATTGCCTTTTCTTTTATGCAAGAGACAATTTAGTTAGTTTTTGTCTCATAAGAGTTCTGAGCTGGGTGAATATCCAGGTATTGATGCTTTCACATAAGGTGTGTCCTCTACTCTTCCGAGTATCAGCAACACTTGAGAGAAGACACTAAATTCTATTCACTACAATTACTTTAGAACAAAGCCACATAATAGTCAACCTTAGGAAAACCCCCGTAATTGTTGATTCTGTTCAACACAGTTCCTCTTATCCAGGTATAAACCTGTAGTAAGGTTCTCTCTGGCCAGCTGGTCTCCTTCACTGGCTCCTTTCTGGGCTGTGGAAAGGTGGTATTTCTACCTAGCTCTGCTTCTCTATCCTCAGCCATACATTTTGATCACATGAATTTTGGGAAATTACAATAATCTGAAAGATCACCAGATTCTCAGTGTCAGGTATAGTTTGCTTTGAAGTATTGAAATATTGAAACCCCAAATTAATTTTTCCCAGGAAAGTTTTGATATTTTTTTTCTAATTTTTCTATTTCCCTCTCTGTAGATTGCTAGAGTTGAATGGAAACATGGAGATATTCTAATATGATGACCTCATTTTATAGCAAGGAAAACTGACGTCTCCAAAAGAGACAGTAACTATTTTCAAGGTGATATAGGGCAGTAGCAAAGTTGGGATTAGGACTCAGATGCCCTGATTAGCTGATTAAAACTGATTTCAGTTTTGGAAGGGCCTATTAGCTTTGCACAGAGAAGTTTTTTTGTTTTGTTTTGTTTTGTTTTGTTAAGAGAGATGGTATCCCCTTTAAGCTAGCCGGGAAATTCTTCGGCCCCTTACCTTGCCATTTCTAAGGAATATACAATATGAGTCTTGAGGATGTCTGCAGCTTTAAAAAACAAAGGTGCACCTCCTCTGTGGTTATCCTCCCAGGGTTGGTGAGATTGTTTCTAAAGGTTGGTATGTGTTTTTTCTTTAATGCATCTTGGAGCAAGCTGTCACTCTGTACTGTTTTC